AAAGTGGTGGTGGCGATAGCTATAAAACGAAATATACTTGATATATATATACTATTCTAGAAGCTACATGTCAAGTTTGGAGACTCTAGCTCGTATTATTTGCCGAAATTGTTCAATAAACAGGATTTCGATATCGATTTTTATCGACTACTTGGAAACTGGGCAAGTTATCGAATATCGGAAACAAACTCGATCTGCGCGGGGACTAGGAGGACCTACAGCTAAATGTCTCTAGCTCTTATAGGTTCTGAGATTCTTCCGTTTATACATACGGACAGACGGACTGACAGACGGACATGGCTAGATCGACTCGGCTGTTGATGCTTATCAATAATATATATACTTAATGGGGTCGAAGATGCTTCCTTCTGCCTGTTACATACATTTGCACAAATACATAATACCCTTTTTAACCATTTTCAATATGTTCAGGGTATAAAAATAACCGAAACTGTAAACATTGTCGTCAAGGTTGCCAAAGAGAAACATATCGAAACGGGCCACCTCTATGACACACTACTCGCAAGGGATAGAATTCTAATCTCAGAACTAGAGACATTAATGTTGTCAGTTATACTTGATAAAAATTATAAACACTGCTATTCTAAACTCTAAAGATTTATAGAAAATATTAAATGAACACCCTAAAAGTAAAACATAAACCGATTTAATGGTTGTAGCATGTGCCAATGTTTTATTAGATAGCCTATTTTGTAAAAAATCCCTTTGTTTTCTGTTCAACACAACGGTACAATACTTAATTTCGCTGATAATAATAATGTCGCAGACTGCGGTAATAAAAAACTGCCAATAAGAAACTGCATTGCTACGCTCACGTCAACATTTTGCAAGCAACTACCCTCCACATGCGCGCAACAATTACACTTCGGCGGCACAGCGCATTGGAGTACTCGTCCCAGTCGTCTGAAACCACTGGAGGAAGTGAACGACGGAATCATAATAATAAACGAAGCAACTGCTAAAATAAAAATCGGTAACAGTACAGAGACAACCGTCCATGGCACATTCCTACCTGACATTTCACATTCAGGAACATGAGAAATATCGTCAGAAGACAACTAGGAAAGTTGACAACAAGACCTGCAATGTTTAGCGCGTCGAAGGCCATCATTGGAGAGCTTCAAGCCACAATCCTTATCTCCAGATATCCAGCAATAAGACAAACTGAACAACCTAATCGTCAGTGATCCTGCAATTGGATAACCATGAAGAACTAAATCTTCAGAGACTCTGCCATTGGACCGTCTCTGAATTCTTGCAATCTCGAAAGCGACGACGACACCTAGAAGGAGTGACGGCGCACGTGAACAGTAAATTCGCGATCAACTCAAAAAAAAAATACCTAAAACAAAACCAGAAGCAATAGCAGAAGAGATATTAACTTACGAAAGACAGCGCAAACTACAGTGGAGAACGGTCACTTTTATTTATAAGCAAGGAAGAGGTTCTAGTCGGGAGCTCCCGATAAATTAAAAAAAAAAAACTTTCCTCAGAAGGCTTCGAGCTTGCAACACGTTTTTTTTAATAACCTCATTGTTCTAGAGAATATTCGTGTATTATCAAAAAGTCGATTCCATTCAAATTGTGGCTTATATGGGCGGGCGGCATAAATTGGTGTTTTTACTTTATTTATAGCTATGTGGTAGTAGCGGGGAGGTGTTGATAGCTAAACAAGGAAAGATACTTGGCATATATATACACTATTCTAGGAGCTACATGTAAAGTCGATAGCTAAACAAGGAAAGATACTTGACATATATATACACTATTCTAGGAGCTACATGTAAAGTCTGGTGAATCTAGCTCTTATAATTTACAAAAACTGCTCAAAAAACGGGTTTTCAATATCGATTTTTATCGACTACTTGGAAACTGGGCAAGTTATCGAATATCGGAAACAAACTCGATCTGCGCTAGGAGGACCTACAGCTAAAAGTCTCTAGCTCTTATAGGTTCTGAGATGCTTGCGTTCATACATACGGACAGACGAACGGACGCACAGACAGACGGACATGGCTAGATCGACTCGACTGTTGATGCTGATCAAGAATATATATACTTTATGGGGATGCAGATGCTTCCTTCTGTCTGTTACATACATTTGCACAAATACATAATACCTTTTTTTCCCATTTTCAATGGGTTCAGGATATACAAAAAACGTTTCCTTGGCAGGGTTCGAACTAGTGACTAACCGCACTACTTGTCACCGCCTATAATCAACAGCCACACCTACCTCCGCCTCTACCCAACAGCTACACCATTAGTGAGACTGAATTGCAATGCTGTTGGTAGATTTTAAAGAAGACGCGCATAAATGTGTGTGTGAACACGTATACAGAAATTCTTGGAATTTGCGCTAGCTGCCGCAAGCACGTGGGCAGCCAAAACACATTTTCTTTTGCGCTTCTTACCCGATCTTGATGAAATTTTCATCAGTAGATTTTGTTGTACTTTAAAATATGCGTGTATTCTCACAATTGCATTTAAATTGTGGCTTATATTGGCGGACGGCATATGTAAATTGGTTTATTTACTTGATTCAAAGCTTTGTGGTGGTAGCGGGGAGGTGGTGATGGGTATCAAATGAAAGATACTTGATATATATATACTATTCTAGAAGCTACATATCAAGTTTGGTGGCTCTAGCTCTTATTGTTTACCCAATTTGCTCAAAAAACAGTATTTCGATTTTGATTTTTATCGATTACTTGGAAACGGGGCAAGTTATCGAATATCGGAAACAAACTCGATCTGTGCCGGAACTAGGAGGACCTACAGCTAAAATTTCGTACTTTTTTAATACTATACTTTATAGGGTCGGAGATGCTTTCTTCTGCCTGTAACATACATTTGCAAAAAAATACACAATACCCTTTTTACCCATTTTTAATGGGTTCAGGGTATAAAAACGAAAAATTGTGCTGGCTTTCAAAGGCGGATTATGCATTTCCTGCTTATCTTCATGTTACAATTCGACAACTGACATTATTAAGCCTAAATTAAGCTAAGGCGGCGAAGCGAGGCGAATTCGCTCCCAAAGCGAGTGATAAAGCTTTATTGCGCTCTTGCTCCGCCCTAAGCCATAGAGTAATAAATATATAGAGGAGGCTTTTGGATCAAAATCTCTTTTTCAAAGCTCTTGATCAGTGCTGTACCTAAATACCATACTTCTCATATACAAGTTTTGATCCACTGTCTGATTAAAATATAATTTCGTATTAATTGTCCAACTACTGGTACAATCAATAATAATTACTTTTTTAACATTATTATTATTATTACTATTACTTTAAATAAGGGTATCAATACCTCGACGCGCCTAATTGTGGTTGGCGTATGTGTCTCAACACACATAACTTGGTGCAAGTGTACATGTATGTGTGTCCGCCATGCAATGGGAAGTATTTAAATTTAAGAAGATTGCAACATTCTGTTTCGCATGTGACGTCACAGGCTAGGGCTTTTTGTGTGCGATCGTTGCGTAAAGTAAATTTATACATTTTTAAATAAATTCGTTATTATTAAAGACACTATTAATAAATTATTTAAATGTACGTAATAAAGGTATAAATATATACTAAACATCACAAGAAATAAAATTCTATGAAATGTGACGTCATAATTTTTGATGTTGACGCGACGTGTGCATAACCCTTTGGTTTGCATGCCATGGGCTGCTGGCATTCAAATTTTCTACCTACTTGCGCCGAGACTCGGATCTGCAGCAACAACATTAGAACCCAAATCGTGTTGTTGTTGTTTCTACACGTTGCCTTGTTGGAAGTAAAAAATATGAATGCCAGCAGGCCATGGCATTCAAATCAAAGGGTTACGCACACGGCGCACCAACATCAAATATTATGACGTAACATTTTAAAGAATTTCATTTCTTGTGATGCTTAGAATATATTTCTATCTTTATTACTTACATTAAAGTAATATATTAATAGGATCTTTTATAAAAATGCATGTATTAAATAATGTATTACTATATTGTACGCAACGGTCGCATACAAAAAACCCTAGCCTGTGATGTCACATGCGCAGCAGAATGTTGCAATCTTATTAAATTCATATACTTCCCTTGGCTTGGAAAACACATACATGCATATTTTTTACCAATATGTGTGAGATGAGACACACATGCCAACAACTATTTGGCGCGTCGAGGCATTGATACCCTTATTTATAGAAATGGTATAGAATGTCTCAAGAAAACAATTATTATTGATTGTACTATTAGTTGCACACTAAATACGAAGTTATATTTTTCTCAGACATTGGATAAAAATGCATATAAGTTTAGTGGTATTAGGTTACAGAACTTATGAATAGTTAAAATACCCTATTTTGAGAAAGGCTGCCTTGCTGATCGAAAATTGAAAAATTATAAAATCTGCCGGGCTGCTTGCAAGTTGAAAGCGAGTGGAGAAGAAGAAGACATGACTTTGCGAATTAAAGGCATATCAGTGTTAAGAAGAGTCGTTTGTTTTGATTATGGTTGTTGTTGGTTCATATGGGAAATGTTCTGAAGTTGTCATTGATTTTTGGGCAACGGCAGAAGTAGCTGTAGACAACCGGGTGTTGTGTTGCAATTTTTGTTTGCAACCTTGCTATCGCGCACGAAGCGTTTCGAAAAAGAGCTTTTGATCCAAAAGACTCCTCTGTCTCTTTATTACTCAATGGCATCCGGCTTACCAATCATTCGTCCAAGAGACATAGATTAACCCAGTTCAATTACTCTCCGAAAGTTCCGGTAACTTAAAAAATGTCAAAAACGGCTGTATTACAATAGTGAAAATGATTGTAACAACTCTTAAAAATAAACTAATAAATTATAACTTTTAAAAATTGTGGGGACCGCCGCTGCCTTAAAAATGTTTGCAGCGGCTGTGCTTGTAAATTTTTTGTTAAAAAAAAATCAGTAGATGACACATAAATATTAAATATAAATTATATAACCGTAATATACGCACCATCGAAATCTTTGATAAAGTTTACATACACCTGCATTTTCTGAACTGTAATGAATTTTGGTAATATTTCAGGTACAACGACTTTTTCATTACTATTTTCATCAGACAGCGTTTTTATGAGCATTTCACGTGTCAATTCCCTATTCTTGGTTAGGGAGTATGTCGTTTCATATAGTATTGTATCAGTCATAACGCCGCAATTGAATGATAATCTTATGCGAATATCCATGTTTTTACCTGTAAGCAAAATTTATTATTGAGAAATACAATTTTGGTATTGAATTTGTATGTACCTGTCTTTAAGTCGCTTAACAAACGTTTTTTATCCGGTGGTGACATATTCCATAATGTCACAGAGTTGGCATCAAATTTAACTGCGGTAATATCCACGGAATCATATATCATTATGTGATCAGTGGCAACTATATCGAAATTAAAGCTCTTAATCAGCTCTTTATAGTTATCTTCAGTAAACTGGTGTATACCCGAATAACTTTGAGAAACATAAATAGGTTCATAATGTCCAATTTTAACGGCTATATCAGCTCTGCGAGGAACATTTGGTTTGCCCACTGTTCCGACAAGAGCAAAAAGAAATAATGGGCTCCATATGAGTGCTACTAATATTAATATAATAGTTCCACCTATTAGGCATTTAGCATAAAACGCCTTAGGCTCTCCCCGTAAAACTGGGAAATCTGAATCCATTTGCCTATAGCAACGTACAATAAATACAGATTGAAAAATATCTTCCATCTTAATCCATTCCATAACTGTAAGTGTGGTATCAATGCATAACCAGTCCAGCATTGTTCGAAGAATATAGAGAAATGGTATTTCCATATAACTAAAACGGTATTATTTTAATATAGCAGAAATAATATGAAAGTTATAAATTTCTTTTTTGCTTACACTTTAAACGCTACATAGTTAACCATTGAAAAACTCTTTGTAAATACATTTCCCAAAATGCGCCTTGGGTAACCACAACGCATCTGATAGGCTGATAATAACATATGAAGGCATTTGATAAGATAAAAGACAGTTGGTGCAGTAGCCCCGAAACTGTGCGCTGTAACATATGGCACTAAAAAGAACATCCATATATGTATTCCAATAACTGTTACGAAATGGAACACAATTTTGACAACCAACGCTTTTCGTAAGTATATCGCACGCTCCGTTACGATAGTAACAAATTGAACAACGAGCATAAAAAGGAAACTGAATGGCACCTTGTTTCCTTGTATATATGTCTCTAGAACGCTTGTGCTATATTTATGACGATACTAAAAAAATTAAATATTATTTATAATTAATAATAATATAAGTTAAATATTCTCTCAATTCCAATTAATATAATACCGAAAAATTCTGATGTTTAAACTTTGACCCAATTCATAGTCAAAAAAAAACGAATTCAAATAGCAGCCCAGAAAACAATGCAATCGCAATTGCAATGCTGTTGGTAGAATTTAAAGAAGACACGCATGAATGTGTGGGTACATGTATACAGAAATTCTTGGAATTTGCGCTAGCTGCTGCTAGCACATGCGTACATAACTTTTGTGCTTCTTAACCGATCTTATATAAAATTCGAGTATTCTCAAAATGACAATTGCATTTAAATTGTGGCTTAAATAGGTAGGCAATACAAGTTGGTTTACTAACATGATTAATAGCTTTGCGGTGGTAGCGGGGAGGTGGCGATAGCTACAAAATGAAATATACTTCATATTTAAGTTACGGCAGTCTCAATAACTACCTTAACAAGGAATGATGAAACATCTTCGATGTCCTGTGGAAGCCTAAGAATTGCTTGGGTAATGTAGTAAGTAGATGTCGATTCTCAGTTGTATGTTGTTTATTGAAAGTAAGATAAGGCCACTTTGTGTTCTCATCGTTTCTTCGCCAGAATTAAATCTGATTCGCTTCCAAGTCTGTTGGTCGCTCGTTAACCCAACGTTGCGCTTGAATCGCAGAGTCAGCACATACCGATGTCAACATAGTTGCAGCGGATATGGCGAAACACCCGGCAACGGCCAGTGCTTAGCTAGCGCAACGTCGTCGTTGCGGTCAATATGTTGACGTTGTGGTGTCGGGTGACAACCTTGTTGTTGCGGCCAAAACGCTTAGCGTGCAGAATGGTTTAAGAGAAGGCACTTGTAGAGAGTTTATGAGCAGCGGTCGTTGTTGTAGCGAAGAGAAGTGGCCACTTGAAGAGAGTTTATAGGCAGCGATCGATGTGTGCCGTTGGCACGAAGACTTGTGGTTGTTGTGAGGGGCAAGGGTGGTGTATGGTGTTAACTCCTCCCTCCTTCAAGATCTGCGTCTCGCGGATTACTAAACCTTCGGTGTAATTTGTTCCTCCAGCTGCCGGCCTACGTCGGATGTTTTCGGAATGCCCTTGGTTAATGTCAACTTCCTCCAAATATAGTACAACAATGTCATAATAACCAATGCCAATGTTGCTTCCAGGGAGAATGAAAATAAAATTCCTGCGAACATGCTCGACAGTTTCTTGTGGTTTTCCAGGTTGAAATTATGAACATATTCCAATGACAGTTCATAACCTGCGGCTGTTACTTTGGTTAACACAGCCGGCATAGCCATCAATTGCGTTGTCGTATAACTGCTGTAGTTCCTATCCCCTATGGTAATCGTCTCGTTACTATACCGGACTATAAACGAGCCCGTCAGGTAATGTTTTTTTGAGGCAGTATTTATTTATTTATATATTTATAGTTCCGTTGAAATTGGACAAGAATATTGTCCCGTCGTCGACCAGTTTGATTGTTTCCTGGTTGTTCCTCAAATACCTGCAAGAGGCATGTCCTCCTTTCAACAGTCTTGGTATGCAACTGTTTTCGTCCAACTGTTGTAAGTTTCTTTCTTGGCAAACAGTTGTGTTGCCTATTGAAAGGCAGTCTCCCAGGACGGCGTATGTTTCCGTGGCCAGCTTTTGGAAATATAGCACCACTTGTCTTCCTTCGAAGGTTGTAGGGAAGAAAGTATTAGTTGATACTTCCTTTCTAAGACCTTAGGCACAGCTACGATATTTAGTAAAAATGTTCCGTTTGTTAGGATGGATGGTCGAGAGAACTCAACGGCTTCGATAGCGTTCTGGTAGGGAAGGCTCTCTGTTTCCGATAGTATCGTTGCTATCTCTCCGTGGTCTAGTAGATTTGTGTTAACAACACCTGATTTCGCTAATTGGCAAGCTCTTGTGATCTCATTTACTTGATTTCCAAGAATGAAGGCCTTGTGCATCACTGTCGTGAAAACGTGGATATCCTCGTCTACGGCGCTCATCTTTCCGATAACATTGTTGAGTCGCTGGAATGATTCCTGAGTCGACTCGAAGAGCCGTGTATTGATTTTGATTTGTTGGTTGTTATTTCTAACAATATTTTCTTGGGACGTCAGAATGGCGGTTCAATCCGATGCATCCGGTGATCCAGCAACCCATTTCAAAGCCGATCCTAGCCAGTTAATGGCGCGTTTTGTTCTCCTGGTTGTATGTGTTACACAGGCGAGGCCCTCACTTCCTTCTTCCAAATAGTGGGTCGTAAGTGCTCTGATCCGGTGGTCGGTGACCAAGTTTGTTTCCTCCCTTATGTCATCAATGATTCGTTGAATCTTATCCAAATCAATAACTTGGGCTAGTTTAAAAATACCATTTACTCTCCAGACGACGCCTTGTTGAAGGGGAATAACAGGTGAGTCATATTTGTAGATGTGTAACGCGTTGGCTGTGTGGAAGAGAATCATGCTTTTGGGAAGGCATTTAAACATAAGTGTGTAGAATTATTACAATAATAGTTTTTTTTTCAAGACTTAATTTTAGATTATAATTATTCGTGTTTTGTATGGTTATAAGCTATATTAGTTTTTTTCCTATTTCATTCCTTGATTTTTATATTTTTTGTATTTAGGTTCTAATATTTTTTGTTACATTTTTTACTTTTTTAATTTTATTATTTTTTTCTTCTTTTTTTTTGTATTCTTAATGTATTAGTATTGAAATGAAACGCCTTCGAACCATTCATTATATTTACAACTTTCATCCCCACCGTTTCTTTTTCGTTTTTTTTTTATTTTATTCTACTTAAATCTGATTTATGGAATATTTTGCCTGATTTAGTTTTGACGGTGACCGTCCTATCTTCCTGAACCTCCTCTAGCTTGTAGCGTGGTTTTTCTTTTGTTTTAATCTGTTTATTGGTGACAATAGGAGACAGGCTCTGTCCTACTTTTATTCCTGTTGCGGTTGGTTGTGTTTTTTTGTGTTCAATGAGTCCCTTAATGTCTTCCAAAGTTTCTTGTTTAAAATTTGTCAAACCTTGGTAGTTTCTTCTCGAGAACCGATCAAGGAATATGTCTACTGGTTTTTTACCCGTAACCGAGGGGACTGAGTTATTGTATCAGTCTACCGTTATCGGCACCAATTCAGTGATCTTGAAAGTAGGGTATTCGAACTTCAAACATCTGTGTATTTCTAAGAAGGTGGAGTGAAATTTCTCGACTTGTCCATTTACTTCGCTTTTCTGATTCGGAGTACGGTACAGTTCGATTTCCAATGTTCTCAGATAGTTCAACACGGTAGGGCACAAAAGACCTCTTTCATTGTCCGAGACTATCATTTTAGGTACTGTGAAATAATGTTACACTTCCACTAATTTTTCACGCAAGTGTACTGCTGACTTTGACTCTAATGGAAAAGTTTGGCGAATTTAGTGAATTTTTCTATACAACTTAGATAAATTCTTTTCTCTAACGTAAAGACGTCAATGTGGAGAATCTCGCATGGGTAATTAGGGATAGGTGTTGGTTGGAAAGCTGATGTGTCAGGGTGTCTATTATATTTGTGTATCTTGCAGCATTCACAAGTGGAAAGTTGGAGACGTATTGTGCTTGACATCCTTAGGAAATACAATTTCTCTAAGAGCTGAATGCGCACCTCCTTGGGACCCCTATGGGCTCTACGATGCTTTTTCTCAATGACATCGCAGATTTCATCTGCATCAGATAAGTCTGTAACCAATCTGTGTGTTATGCGTATTTTAAACAATTTAAAATTCTCAAAACACTGTGTTTTGATAAACTGCAAACACGTCTCTGGGATCTTAATACCATTGATGATTGAGGGTTTTGAATACTTCTGTAAAGAAGTGTTCAAACCTGATAGCATCTGACTGTTAATGGGTATAAAATGTCGAACGTAGCCCATATGAGGCTGTTCACAAGAATATTCCGGGAAATTTGGGTCAAATATTAGCTGGTTTCTATAGATGTTAATGGGCACCAGCACGTGAGGTATAAGACTCGAAGCGTCTTGAAGAGCGCTATGCACAGTGGCTAAGGAATCTGCCTCAGACGCGGTGGCTGTGTCGGAGCCCAGATGGTTGGCTTATGTCGTGATTCGAGCAAGCGCGTCTGCAACAACGTTTGATTTTCCTGGTTTGTGTATTAACTCGCAATTATATTCTTCTTTGCGAGACTTCCAACGCTTTAGTTTAGCATTGAAATTCGTATTTCCTAAGGCAAACGTGAGAGGCTGATGGGCTGTATAAACCTTAATAGTTGCCGTGCCGTAAAGGTATGCTCTAAGATTATCCAACGCCCAGACTATCGCGAGCATTTCTTTCTCGATTGTGGCTTAATTTTCTTCAGCTCTATTTAAAGACCGTGAAATATAAGCGATGGGTCTGTCTTTTCTATTGTCGCCATGGGAAAGAACTGCCCCTATAGCGAAGTTTGAAACGTCCGTTGTTAGATGAAAAGGTATGTTAAAATTTGGAAATGCTAATACCTCAGAAGAGGCAAGGATGGATTGTAGATCTGTAAATGCTTGTATAGCCTTTTCGTCTAACTCGATTGGTATCTTAGCGGATTGAGAAGCTTTGATATTAGCGTATTTTCCTCTCGTTAAATTAGTAAAAGGTTTTGCAATCTTGGCATAATCTTGTATAAACTTCCTATAATATGATGTCAAACCTAAAAAACTTTTTAATTCTTTTACGGTGGCGGGAGATTTCATTCTGTTAATAGCTTCTACTTTCTTGCTATCTGCCTTGATGCCGTCTGCGGTGACAATGTAACCCAAGAATTCCCATTCTGTTGCTAAAAAATGCGGTTTCTCCAGATTTACTTGAAGATTTGCCTTTTTCAAACTATCGAAAACCACGCGATGGTTTTCCCAATGGCTATCGTAATCGTCACTGAAGACAATTATGTCGTCAATGTAAACATGTGTTCTCTCAACACATCGTCGATCATACGTTGAAAAATAGCTGGGGCATTCTTCAAGCCAAACGGGAGTCGTATTTCCCGTTTAACGTGGAAAATGCGGTTTTGGGAATGTCACTTTCTCTCATGTGGATTTGATGAAATCCCGAAGTTAAATCGAGAGTTGTGAAATATTTGGCTTTACCAAGACTGGCCAAGGTAGAGTTTATATCTGGTACAGGGTAGGTGTCTGATATCGTGACAGCGTTTAATCGCTTGAAATCAATTTCTAATCCGTATTGTTTTTCGCCGTCTGGGTTTGGTTTCTTTGATACTATCCAAAGTGGAGAATTATATGGACTTTTAGAAGGTCTGATTATTCCATCGCTAAGGAGTTCTTCTACCTGCGACTCTACTACTCCTCTCATATTAGCCGGGTATGGGTATGCTTTTGTTTAAACGGGATTTTCGTTTCTTGTATTAATATCAGCTTTTACCACAGTATCTACCGCCGCCCCTTTTGAGATTGGCTCGAAAATCTTAGCATACTCCTCGATCAAGACGTTTAATGTGCGATTAATGCTTTCAAAATGATTGACATTGACCAGTGTGTGAACGTTTGAAGATACCTTAGCTAAAAGGGGAAGTTTGACTCCTGGTGTTATTATTAACAAATCGTTTTCCCTATCAATTAATGCTTTAACTTCTCTTTTTGCGTATTCGTTCTGAGTGGAAGGCACAGTTGTGGTCATATGGTAAAGTCTTTGGGCTTTCCTAAAAGGGTTCAAAACGGAAGAAACGTTCGAGTTTCTCTTACCACCACCCTCTTCTTGACGGACGTTCGGGTTAGATTGGTACGATTGACCAGATCTATTAGGCTCCATTTTGATAGCCGGTCGAGGCCCTGGAATCTTTGGTAAGTCTGTTGGGTTCTAGGTGAGCCCCCATTATAGAACGGAACCATCTGAGTCCTAATAGGTTGTTGATGATTGGTTGCAAACCTAGGGTTATTTGTTGGGCGATATGGCTGTGGTGGCCCGGCGTAAGTGGAATTATTAAAATTACCCCTATACGTGACATTTTGTAATTCTAGGCAAAAGGCGTATGCCTCAGGTAAATTTTTCGGACTGCGAATCACTAATAATTTAGAAGCGTCACCGTCGAGTGCTCTCATGAAGACATCCAGTGCCTTATCTCTATAGGTTTCGATTAAAGCGGTTGTAACGTTGGGTGGGTGAGTTCCCGCCTTTGATTTGTTCATAATAAGAGAAAAATGGTTGCCGACCTCCATGTAATACTCCTCTTATGTCTTGTTGCCTTGGTTCAGTTGACTCAACTGATATTCTAAGGTTCGTATATCGCGCTTGTCCGCGTAGTGGAGGGCCAAAATTATTTTCATTTCGGGCCAGTCGTCGTCTTGTACACTGTAAAAGCAAAGTGCTAAATCTGCAATACCCCTTATCTTCTGCCTGATATGCAGTACTATGGATCTATACAAAGGCTTATCCCTAATGATTTCATAATCGTTAAAAATCGACTTAGCATACTCCTCGATCAAGACGTTTAATGTGCGATTAATGCTTTCAAAATGATTGACATTGACCAGTGTGTGAACGTTTGAAGATACCTTAGCTAAAAGGGGAAGTTAGACTCCTGGTGTTATTATTAACAAATCGTTTTCCCTATCAATTAATGCTTTAACTTCTCTTTTTGCGTATTCGTTCTGAGTGGAAGGCACAGTTGTGGTCATATGGTAAAGTCTTTGGGCTTTCCTAAAAGGGTTCAAAACGGAAGAAACGTTCGAGTTTCTCTTACCACCATCCTCTTCTTGACGGACGTTCGGGTTAGATTGGTACGATTGACCAGATCTATTAGGCTCCATTTTGATAGCCGGTCGAGGCCCTGGAATCTTTGGTAAGTCTGTTGGGTTCTAGGTGAGCCCCCATTATAGAACGGAACCATCTGAGTCCTAATAGGTTGTTGATGATTGGTTGCAAACCTAGGGTTATTTGTTGGGCGATATGGCTGTGGTGGCCCGGCGTAAGTGGAATTATTAAAATTACCCCTATACGTGACATTTTGTA